AAACATGTTATTAAATGTGGTATTTTCACATGCTTTCAGATGGAGCAGCATTTACTACACAGAGCCGTAGTTTACTGACAAGCTACGCAAACAGCGTTCATAATCGCAGAACGATTTCTTCAATTTCATTATCACGCGATTATATCGTCTGCGATTATGAACGCGATTTTGCGTAGCTTGTCAGTGAACTACGGCTCTGTGTACTGTAGTAAATGCTGCTCCATCTGAAAGCATGTTATGGAGATTTACTACTAATCGCAGAACCGGCTGTACTGACAAGATGCACATGACAATTGCATTCGATTAATCGTGCAGCCGTACTAGACCGATATGAAGAGCTTCGATTTGATGTTTTAATTTCTGTTTGAGTTGTCAAGTTCATGCTAGTATGTCAGTTCAACCACTTTAATAACTTCTGACATTTCATACCTGAAAAAGCTGCTTTAACAAAAAGGTAATGCCTATGCAAACAGACTGAGACCGAACTGTGCTGAGTTTTTTGGGGGGGAAGAAACAAAACCATATTTTGCTCTTCAGGTTTTCTCAGACCTGCAGCCAAATATGCTATTTGTTTTTCCAGTGGATCCAGTTTTGTGCTGGTAGCAGTAAAACAGATTTAATACAAATCTGAGTGAAATCATTTGGTACTGATGTGGTGAATGAGACTGGGTGATGGAGAGGGGCTTTATGTCTCGGATACAAGCAGATTCGCGCTAATGGATGGAGCTTCTTGGCTAGAATTTGAAAGGCGTGAAAGTGAATGGTAGTATGTGTGGAAAAAAAATGTGCAAATCTTTTTTTTTAGGCTTAAGTGTGAACATTTGTGAAGCATACGTGCTTATGCCGTCATTACCGTGCATACTTAAGCTGTCGCTGATGCATAATTTACCATTTTAATGTTTATATCTAACACCATAATCATCCTTGTGTTTATTTTTGCCATCTGGCGTGAAGATGTTCATTGGAGATGTGTTTCCTTTCCATAAGCCCACACATTTTAATTGATATTTAATATATTCAAACTAATATAGCCATACCATATAACTTTTTTTCGCCCATAAGTTTAGTGGTAAAATTGGACTTACCTACACCATCTGGTCTGTTACATATCATATCTTGTTTTTTGTCCTTAATATGTAGTATAACCTTTATTCGTGCCTTTTGTTTTCACCCTGGATCTGTTTTCAGTGTCTGTTCATGTGTCTACCGCTGAAATAGCCACTTTGTGCCTATGCTGGGTATTAAGATGAAGACTTGTTCACTGTGGTGAGGAGTGTGTTTGTGCTTCCTATTACTCCTTGCCTTCCTATTCTATAGCGAATTTATTAATGTTTGGAAATTTCTTTTTCAAAATATATGCTGTTTACACAGGTATATCTTTACAAGTGCCCTTTACCTAAATATCAATTGTTTATGATTTACCAGTTAGAGCCATAATTACGTTGCCTCAAATTCAGGAAGTTGACATGATAGAAACATTGTTTGGATGAAGTCCTCTCTTTAATCACTGATGCTACTACATTCATTTAATGAGCTGAACCCAGATGATGTTACTATGCAGGCTCTGTTTGAATTAAATCACTCCATGTTTGTCAGACTTGGGTTGGGTATCTGCTTTATTATGTTGATGCTGATGAGCACCAGATCGAGAGGTGGAATTATCTGGGTTCCTCATGAATCAGGCTGTATTATGTCTAGACATTGACTAAATACCTGTGAAAACTATTGTGTACTATGACCGGAATGCCAACAATCTAGAAAAATCAGCTTCCACTCTTAAAAATGGTTTGTTTGTGTGTATCAACATGGTCTTTCTTTTCTTAGAAATGATAATGATCACCAGGCTTGTAAAAGGTAACTCAGCTGTATGCGTTTGCTGGCAATAAAATAGTGTTTTGTACTTTCCTAATGTAAAATATGCAGACTAAGTGCTAGGTAATGTCTACTGAAAGTGGTAGACATGGTAAATGGAACTGACATCTCTATTTTAAAGATAATAAATGATATCCCATCACTTTTTTGTGAGTTCAACCTCCATGTATTTTATTCAGGAATGAGGGTCATGTTCTTTTTAATTATTGAAAATACAATATAGTTCCATGTATAAATCTAACAACGAATTTGACTCCCCCTAGTGGATGCAAGGGAGTACACAAAGTAGCGTCATCCTCTCTGAACCTTTTCGACTTGGTTTTCCTGTTGTAATTATGACAAAGCTGCTTGTTTTCTTACCTTTTTATTTATCAGACAAGATAGATTAACTGAGCATATTAATAATAATTTAATAATTTGTCATCATACAGCACAAAGTTTGCTGAGGCCCCCTAGTTGAGCCACGTTTTGCAGTTAAAATGAATCTTTTCATTTTATGAATGTTTTAATGCTCTTAGGATAGAGGAAAAGTAGCAGTGATGTGATATTCATGTATTTTTGCTAAAAAAAAAATTGGGTGCATGCAGTTGCTAATGGTGCTGAAATATTGTTTACCAGTTAAACAGCTGATTTTTGCACACATTGAGAGTTTACAATCAATTATAACTAATTAATTATACAACTAACAAGTGTTTATACAATAAATGTAGTGGTTTTGCATTATATTTAGTAACCACTTTGCATATACAGTAGGTAAATGATTTTATAATTTACAGCTTTTGCTAACGCTGAAAAATAATTATTTAAAATATTTTGTGGAAAATATTATCTGAGACTAACACTTTCCTATATTTTTTATAAACATGACACAAATGTGAGAAAAATAAAAACATATAATTATTGCACTTGACTAGTTTAGATTTAATTGTAATCAAATTTATTGAACATTTTATTTGTATTTTATTAAACATACTAATTTAAGTGAACATTAACATTGACAGCCCCCCAAAAAATGTTTTGGTAAAAAATTCAAATTAAATTTTTAAATTTAAATTCAAATCTTTTTATTTGAATTTAAATAATAATAATTTAATCACCAGTGTTGGGCAAGTTACTTCCAAAATGTAATACATTATATATTACTAGTTACTGTCTTTTGAAAGTAATTAGTTACATTACAATATTACTGTCTCTGAATTGTAATGCATTACACTACTTTTGAGTTACTTTTGAGCTCACTTGCTTTCCCATGGGTGCCCTGACCCAATTTGAAAAATAGTGATCACTACAAAAAACACTTTAAATTACCTTTGACCACAAGAAAAATTCAAACTCATGTAAATGCTTGTTTGAATTTTTTTTTTTTACCCATTCATGGCCTGAAGTGTGCTGCACATAAAATGACACATGATGCTATGATACAGTACCCAGTAAGATCTTTGACAAAATAAATAAATAAATAGAAAAAGGAAAGAAAAAGGTGCTTCCTAAAAGTGTATCCTTTGTGGCAACAGGCCTACAGTGTGCGTTTAAAAGATCCACATCACATTAACTTTAACGGACTGCTTTCTCTTTGCAGTTTTTCTTTTTTCCTCTCCAGAGCACCGCCTCAATAGCGCCCTAACCACGCCGAGGACCTCCAGCACGACCCATTTAAGCGTCTGCATCGCACGTGTCAAATTTTACGTGCTACGTCACGCCTACGCCAGCGCGTCGAGAGCCACAGCTCCGCCATATTGCAGGAAATCCGTCTGAGGTTTAGAGATTACCGTTTAATCTGAGGAGCTGGGAACGAGAGTGTGATTGGAAATTACTGCTAGCCATATGGTTAGCTCGAGTGGGCGGGTAGATCGCGCAATCGCTGTTCTCACACGACAGGACATATGTTTATGAAGACA